TTTTGTAAGTGGTGTTTCTCAATTAAAATTTGCTATAATCAAGTTGAACAGGAAAGTTTATCTTAATCTGCCGTCAAGAAACCCTTTAGCAGGCAGAGAATACAAATATGCACTCTTCAGAAGATGCAGCTGTTACATAGGGGAGTTACAAACTTTAAAATCTTCTTAAAAGTCAGCTTTCTCCTGTAAAAGAGTACATTCTTAATTTGATTTCAGTGTTAACAATTTTTTTTCCTTGTGTCACGTGGAGTTTTTAGTTAGTACGTTTTTTTCCCCATGAAAACATCTACGAGTATTTGGGATTTTAAGTCACTACCCCTGTAGTAGTAATTAAATATATATTACACATTATTAAATATATATTACTGATTTTTTATGGATCCAAGTTTCATGAAATGATAAAAAAACCTCAGAGTCCTTTTTCTGAGCAGAGGTGCTTGAGGGAAGTGTTCTTCCTCCTGCATGTACAGAGAGGCATGGAACTACCCAGGGTTTTGCAGGATGGTGGTAGAGGAGAAGTTTACATCTTAGATGCTTTATAAATGAGTGTATTGTACAGCTTATTGATTTGTTAGATTTTCTTTTTTGTGCTGGCTGATCCTGCTCAGGCATTAAAAATATTCTGTTCATTCAAACTGGTCTTTTATTTTCATATCTTAGTTTAGTTATTGTTTCTGCAAACTGACTTCTTTTCATCCTTCTATGAAATCTGTATACAAATCAGTCTTGATTAATGTTTCCCTATTAACTTAAACTTCTATATCTAGCTCTGTAAAAGTCTAGAAATATAATTAAGCCCTCCTGACAGTCTCTGTGTTGAGGCAGTATTGACTGCAATAATCTTAAAATGGTGATGAAAAATACTGCATAGCTGTAGCAAAAGAAGAAGGAATCTCTTCCAATGTCAAATGTGATGTCAGCCTCGGTGGAACAGAAGCATTGTGTTGAGACTTGGGAAAGTGTGTGACATTTATTAGATTGAAAACAGATTTTTGTTGTCTTTTTTTCAGTGTAGTGCATTAGTCTTTTGTCAATAGTAGGTTCAAGAGATGACTCTTAGTAACAGTAAAACTGGGGAAAGGTGAAATGCTTTCAGTTGGATTCCAGTATATCCAGCAGACCCTTGGAGATAGGTGGGGTTTTTTTCTCTCTCTGTCTCTCAGAGCACACTAAGCCTAATGTTACTTATTATTGCACAGAGTTCAAAGCTGATAAACAGCTGTGGTTTTGCATAGCAGGAATAAAAGGTAGTTACAATTTCCAAGTTCAAGAAAAGCACTTGTGTTGATTTTCAGTTGTATTAGTGGAACTTTTGTTTACTGTTTTTGTGGTTTAGTTTGCAAACTTAAATAACTCTCTTGAAACAAAGATTTCATTTATGTTCTAATGTGGTTTCACTACTTATAGTTTTTTCTATTGTCTTGACTGTGCTGCCTTAGATCTGTGGTGGAAAGTTTTGCCCTATTTTCCTTTCCCTTTTGGTTGTGTGGCAGAAACAAGTTATCCAGTGTTGTCAGCTGTTGTTTGATTACACTTTCTTGGATTCTTTTGTTTGTTTCTTTTTGTGTTTTCTTTTTTTTTTTTTCTCACTTGAGCTTTATATTAAAAACAAACTGTCATTTGATTTCATTATTACTTATGAGCATTATTCATGGCTTATGGTTGCATTACCTTGATGTTACCCTTTCTGTTCAGCAACCTTGTATGTGTTCTTACCAACAGGAAATTGTTATGCAAAATGTGGCGTGAACACAAACCTGTCAGACATATCTTAGTGGTTGGCAACTGTAAGGGGGAAGATAGAACAGTGCTAGTAAGGTCATGAAATGTTAGTCTAATTATCATGGTTTTGGCAGAGGAAAATTGTTCATGCCGATCTGAGACTTCTTTGAACTTGTCATTGTGGTGGACAAAAGAGGAGGGGGAAAAAAATAAATTAGAGCTTTTAAAATGCCTTTGACAAGTCCTTTTCCAAGAGGCTGTTGAACAAGCTGAGGGAGTCATGTGATGAAAGTGAAGGGTCTGTTTGTGCAAAAGGCACAAGCAAGAAAAAAAAGTCTAAATCCTGATAGAGACAAGCTCAAGAGTCCAGAAGATACTCTTTAATGATCATTATAACAGCTGTTCTGACACTTTTATAGGTGACACAAGTAAGGACCAAACTTTTAATGAAGACCAAACCAGGCCAACTGATTGGAGGGAACAGGAATGGTTTGGATTTTAATGAGAAAAAGTATAAACCAGTGTGTATAGAAAGAATGAACATATTCTGGTTGTGTCTTACAGAGGTTTACATGGATTCAGGAAGGGTGTTGGGCATCTCTGTGTCAGATTGAAGGCAAGTCTCTGTGCAGTTGGGTTTTAAAGATAAGGTACAGTGGCATTATAGAAACTGTTGCTACTGGTCTTTTCCCAGTGCAACATTTAGCAAGTTCCAAGAAATGATTCTATGTATATATATCCATACTCCAGTATTACTGATTGTGTAAAGACCTCTTGGAAGAGAAGCTAAGCGCTCTGGCTTTAAGCATAAGCTGTCAGAGGGCAAGATAGGATCTGATGTTGATGGTGAACTTGAATTTTGCACATTCTTGCATGTGTGAGATTGGCCTTCAAAATCAGAAAAAAAAAAAGTTTTTATACTGGAAAATTTAATGTTGAAATTGTGGAGTAGTCTGTAGTCTAAGCAGGTTGGATAAAACACCGAACTCTGGTTTCCTACTGCAGGCAAGAATAGTATTTTTCTAGATTAAAATTTACTTTTTTAGTGGAAAAACACTCCTAATGTGTCTTGCTTTCTTCCTAGTACTTTTTTTAAGTGATGAAAGGTTGTTTTAAACCAGAAATTTGTGGAGTTTTGCGGGTAATAGAACTTGAAGGTGTTTGCAACTAGTTCCTCTTTATGGATTGATATGTGGTGGTATTGTGATAATTGAGAAGTGATAAATATGCTTACAAATCTTAAATATTACCTGAGAAGTGAGAGCATGTAACACCAGGATAGTACAGCCTCTTGTGTGTTTGCCGTGACTGTCACTGCTAAAGACCAAGGAAGGCAACAATAACACATGGGTCTGCTTTGTGGAGAAGTTTTCAGTGAATCCCATTTTGTTTTTCCCAAAGGAATTGTTTCCAGATTACATGGCTAAAAATGACTAAAAATGACCAAGTTCCTTAGTTTCTGTGAGGAGGTACAAGTTGGCAGGATGGTTCCTTCTCTAATCCCTTGGGGACGTTAGGAAGACATCCGGTTAGTGGGCTTATATTTAGGCTGTTAAGCAGTTGTATCGGGTGTCTTTGGTTTGGTTGGGGTTTTGTTTTGTTTTTGTTTTTGTTTAATATTTAAAAGAAATCTGGTCTTTCGGGTTGCTGGTGGTGCCTTAGAGAAGACAGTTTGTGATGTGAGTCGTAAGTCAGGTCTGCTTGGTAAAATGTAGGGATTTGTCATAAACACGGCAATGTATCTGCTGTGACAAGATCACATAACTCTTATTATTCCTCCAAACCTTCTTGACAGAAGCCTGAAAGCTAGAAATTGTGCTCAGAAACACCAACAGGGATTAGAATTGAAAATTACTTGGCTTTTATCATGTTTCTTTTACAAATCTTCTGCATTCTTGCAGTAGGTATCCTATGTATATTCTTGTCTACTTATCACACGCTCTGTGTACATGCTGAAACTTGAATTCATCTTTTGGAAGGAAAGCACTATTATGTGTTAGTAATGTTGATCTCTGTATTTATTAGGGCAGTAGTTGAATGGGTAAATGTAGAGGTAGGATTCTTCTCTCATCTTTTTAATTGATTTTGTTTGGTGTAATACAGAAGGTTCATGAAGTGCTGGGGGTAGAATACTTTCTGCAACAGAAGGACATCCTTTTTGAATTTTTTATATACAGATGTGTACCACTGCCTGTCCAGGGGGTCTCTGTCTCTTGTGTTGCCTTAGCCAAAGCCTTGCTTTCTTGAGTGAGCCTTTGCTAATTACCTGAGGCAGTGTACCATGTTAACCCCTGTATACTGTTGCCAGCAACTGGCACTCTCTGCAGAACACTGCATAGTGTAATGTAGAGATTACTGCTTTCAAAATGACAAAAAAAATGTCATTTCCAATGCAGTTTGCAAGTGCAAATGTTACTGTAATTGAGACGAACACATTTTTCTGCCAGTAAGCAAACCAGGAGGAATAATATGGTGAAAGCTGTCCTTTCTTTGCTTACATGTCTCTACATGAAATTAACTTCCCTGCTGAAGCCAAGATATTGATAGATGACATGTTAATGTGATTAACCAGTAATGAGTACAGTATATAATGTGTGGAGGTCTCTGAAGGAGGCAGAGCTCTTCCTTCCTATTCTGAAAGTATGACCGAAGAAGACTGGCCTCTCCAGAACAAACAATATCTGACTTCTTTGTTTAACTGCAAATGCAAAATATGTAGAGATGATGCAAAAAAACCAAAACAAGAAATGTATGAAAGTCAGTTATATTCTAGTGAAGAAATACAATTTAATGCTCTGTCACTTCTTGTTGAGATTTACACTTGCTTTCAGCAGTGAAAGAATATTTATTTCACTATAAAAAAAAACCACATAAAAAACCCCAGCCAAACAAAAAAACACCAACAAAAATAGCCAACCCAAAATGTCAGGGAGCTGCAGTAAGGGAAGGCAAGCTGGGAGTCAGTGGTGACAACAAGGCTGGCAGACAGTACAGACGTTGATAAGAATGCAGTCCCCCAATACCTGCCATGAGACAAACAGTAGTTTGGAAGTAGTTGGCATGGATTTACAAAGGGAAGATCATGCCTGGCTAACCCAATAGCCTTCTACAACAAATTGAGGTGGTTGGATAAGGGAAGAACAGTGAATGTTGCTTATCATGATTTCAGCTGTCACTGTCTCCCATTACATCTGATTAAGTATGGACTAGGCAAGTAGACTGTGTGGTGGACTGAAAACCAGCTGAGCTGCCAGACTCAAAGGAGGGTGATTAGGGGCATGAAGTCCACTTGGAGGTCAGTCACTAGTTGTGTGTTCCAGGGGTCAATACTGGCGCTATCCTTGGCAATACCCGGAATGTGACTGGGCACTCTCCCGGGCAGTTGACTTTAGCTGTGACCCTACTTTGAGCAGAGGTTGGAGTAGTCAGTGTCCAGAGGTGCCTTCCAACCTTGAGGACTCTGATTCTGTGGTGCAGGGTTGCACAGCTGCACAGTGTAAATGTTGGCCTTGACCACAGGAAGCTAAACTCTGCCAAGAGTGAGGTTTTTTTCGTAGTTAATGCCTCTTTTTTCATAGACTACTGGAAGACTTCTTTTATGGTTCAGGGAAAGGATTGATCTCAGAGTTGATTCTGAGGGTTAACATACCTAATTGAATAGATGTTGGCATTTGTGCTCAAAACAGTTTCCCTTCAATGCTGTTCATTAGAAACTCCAACTTTTCAAAACTACCGAAGCCTGACATAGGCTAAATATCCTTGCTTTCTCAGCTCATGGGTTGTCTTAGTTTCATTTGGTTTTTTTAAATCAGGCAAGTTGGCCAATGGATACAGCCATAGGGAAAGTACAGATAAGAGCTGCCAGATAAGTGTTTTCATTCTCATTGGTGTCATAAAAGAATTATGTATTATGCCATGCTAATCATTGTTATGAACTTCTTACTTAGGTTGAATTTGGTTGAAGCGTTTGTGCTGGATCCAGAACTACGTCAGTGCCTTCAAGAAGATCTCTTACGTCGCTTTCCAGACCTCAACCGGATGGCAAAGAAATTTCAGAGACAAGCAGCAAACTTACAGGACTGTTACCGAATGTACCAGGCTATTAATCAAGTGCCTAATGTTGTAGAAGCACTAGAAAAACATGAAGGTAATACTACCCCCATCTGTTTTCAGTGTTTCGTAGTATACGGATGATGCAAAGAAAGAGTGTGTAGATTTCAAAAAATGACTTTTTTTCCCGTGTTCTTTTGCTGCAGGGATAAAGCTTAAACACATTTGAATTTGAAATGAGCTGAAATTCTGAAATGCCAGTCAGATACTTAATAATATACATAGCCAAATCCTTACATGAATAAGTGTTCCAATTAGTGTGTACCTGAAATACTAGAACTTGAATACTTGAATACTTGGGTGGTGGTGTGGTAATCTTTGATCTGGATGTGTCTCTAAGAATTTCTGACCAATTGTGTGTCATTATGATCTTACAAAAAAGATAACATTCATACGATATTGTTGTCTTCCTTTTGAAGACATTTTGCACTTTGGGTTGTAATTAAACACAAAAAAAATCAGTTTAAGCATTATTAGTATAATTGGAGTGGCTTTTTTTTTTAAATCATAGTGCTGTATTTGATACGAGTAATGTGGCAGAGTTTTGTCTGATCTTCATTAGTAGGAAGAGCAGTACTGTGACAGGCAATTCTAGAAAACATAAACGCTGCTATTTCTTTTTCTTTTCTGTGTGTAGCCAAGAAAATGCAGGATAAGATCAGCATAATGAAGGGATGATTCAATTTAGCAATAGCAGTCCCAACCTGCCAGAAAGCATATTTTTGTAGAAGCCCATTAATTTGTTTGAAAATCTCTGTGCATAAAGCAAGCACCAAGGCCTTAAAGAGAACTGTTATTTGAAATAGTATGGTTGCAAAAATTTCTCTCCTGTATTTGAGTAGGCAATAAAGCTACCCAGTGTCTTATACTTTTCTGTACTATAGTTTTATGACTTCAGGTAATGAAACTTATCTTCTAAAATATTAATCTTAAAATAAATTAATTTTTAGTTGCTGGCTGTGTTATTTCCAAAAGCAGTTAAAATCTGAAGCTGAGAAGGAACTGGCAGATACAACTTTTTTGTTTGCTTTTGTTCTTAAAGAGCTGTGCCACTCTTTAGCTGCCTCAGTCATGTCCCTTTGGCTTTTCCAAACAGGCTCTGCTTGTTTTAGCCTTGACATGGAGCTCTTGGATTCCCATCTTAAACTGAGGTATTAGGTCAGAATGCTGGCTTCCTGTCCTTATTTCTTTTTCTATTAGTTGTCATTTGGATCAACAGAGTTTCTCTGTCATCACATTGGGGTAGGAAAACAATTCCATTTTTAGAAGTTTTGAGGAACAAGCTGTGTAAGGCAAACTGCTAAGCTCACCATATGGAAAAATTAATAGACTGCAAAAGGTTCTTGCTGTTCTACATGTGAATCAGTTGGCCTTAGTAGGGCAATCACCAGCAGTATATCAAAGATAATTTAAAATAGGCGACGTGTTATTTTTATTTTTCTGTTTAAACTACATGAATGGTCTGGTAATTTTGAATGTATGTGACTGATTCAGAGTGGATCTGATAATTTTTCTGTTTGTGACTGTACAAACTGTTTTAACTCATCGAGGGATGGGAAACCAGAAAGATTTTTGACCATTCTGAGCATCTGCCAGTTTCTGAACTTCTTATCTCATGAATGGCTATGGGGAGATGGAGCAACTATACCATGAAGTGATCAGCAGTGATTGCCTTTCCCTCAGTGCAAAGCATTGCTTAATTGAGATCCTTGTTTTTATAGATGGTGAAACCTGAGGAGGGAGCTAATGAGTGAAGGTGACTTCTTCTGTTTTAGACATAAGAAATCAGCATAAGATGGGAAAGGACTCTGAGTCATCAAATCATTTTGCTATGGCTGGCAAAAGGGAGCAGCAGTTCATTACTCAAATTACTGGGGCATAAAATGTTGGTACTTAAAAGATTTTTGTCTTCAAGAAGCTACTGAAACATCTTCCTTCCTATCTCAAATGGACACTCTTTATCTTAAGGCTGTAAATATGCAGGACACAGAAATTGGATGCTGGGTTTCAGACGTATTTTTACCATTCTGTATACAATGACTTGAATCCCCCCTCCTCTGCTTTTGGAAATACCTTTTATTGCCTGTTTCAGTACTGTTCTTTCCAAGACTGTTGCACTGGTGTATTATAACCATTTTGTGATCAAAACTGGGCTTTTTCCCCTCCTTTCTCATATCCAGCTGATTATTCCCTTACTCATAGTGGAAACACATTTATATATCAGTGTCATCTTACTCCATGTTAAATTCTACTTCATTTCTATTAGCCCAGTTTTTAAGGTCAGTTAGTGCTGATCTATTTCTGATTCATCTTATTCCAATATAATCTACTGGTATCTTCCATATTGTATATTTTAGTGGCTTTTATAAGCAGCCTTCTTCTGTGCAATAATATAAATTCACACATCTTTTAAAAATAAATGCTTGTCTAAGCCCTGGAGGGACTGTATTGCTGATGTCCTTTCAGCTCTTTCATCCTTTGCAAGTGGGTGATGTCCCCTTTATCTGCCTCCTGATCATTTCATGAATCATAGACCTTGCACCTTAACATCTCCTGTGACACCTTGCTGAATGCTTTAGAACAGCCCAAATTAGGTCTGCAGATTTGCCTTTGTTTTAGGCATTCAGTATCTCAGAGAGATGTTGCATTATATGGGTATGATCTACCTCTAGTAAACTGTACTATATTTTATCCCAGTTTCCATTGTTCTTTTCCTTTTATCCCAGTTTCAATTATGATATCAAAATGGCTGGTTCACTTAGTCATGAGATTTGTCTGTATTCCCTGGGTATGTCAGTTTGTTGCCAGACTAACTGTGTTTCAAGTCTGAAGGTTAGTGCTTGATTTTAATTTCTATACAACACTTTTAAACCATATTAATAGTCACGTTTTTAATGTGTGTAATAAACACTTCTCTGTGCTTCAGTAAGTAAATTATGGTTTAAATTAAAAACTGTACCTGGGAACAGATAGGCTCTGTGATCAGTATGCATCTGTGCTTTTGACTGTACAAAGGTTCATTAGTCTTTCTCTCAATGGTTAGCTTACATGCTGATAATGTTGAGTAGGTGCAAAAGTGGTTTTTTTTTACTATGCATCTTTTCTATGAGTTTATGAATGCACGTGCAAGACATGTTGAGTTTCATTTAGAATTTTTCAATGGCGTTTCTTGCTCATGTTCTCTTAAAGACGGGTGTTATGCTTATAAGAAAGGCGTACCCATATAGCTTTTAAAAAGCCTCAGTATTTACTAACTCCACTATTTTACTTCCTTCAAATGCTGGATACTGAGTTTCAAGTTGGACTGAAAGTGTAAATAAATTTTGCAATGTATCAGTTCTAACCATCTAATAAATATGTATAAATACATTGGTATTTTATTTACTTAATACATTAATATATTTTAATCTTTGAATGTGATATTGTTCTGTGGTGTCTGAAGATGTATTCTTCAATCTTAAATAATGAAATTATATAATGAAACTTCCCTACTTAACTTACTCCTTTCACTAAAAGAAATTCTACTTCAGGTTCAAGCACAATCATTTTTCATTAATTCAGGAATACTGAAGATCATTTCATGGTGTGTGCCATGTACTCTGTCAGCTGGAGCACTGGAAACTGCTAAGTCCACTCTGAAGAGTAGATGTGAAGGTTTTCTGCTCTTCAGTCTCTTCCTTCTTCGCTTACTCCTTTTATTTTCTAGGTGTCTTCTTACTGGAGGCGAAGAAAATACTGAATGAGACCAAGCAAGAGATTTGGAATAAAAAACAAACTGTACTTTATTTCATCTCTCTCTTAATTTTTAAGATTTTAATCAGCAGAAAACTCCATTTTTACAAGTTAAATAATCTCTCAATAATATATAATTTTTTTCTCCAGTAATAGAGACTAATCAGTTTAGAGCTTTAACTTTAAAAGCTTGAGGGAGTGGGGAAGCAAAAAGGCATGGGAGGAAAAGGAATCAAACCAAACTTTTTCTTTCTACTTGAATTACACAGCTGAGAGAGAAGAGAGATTCCCTTGGGTAATCATGTCCTCACTGTGTGACTTCTATAAATTTGTATGGAAATTTTTCTTATGAAAGATTAGGACTTTTTTCCCTAGTCTGGTGAGAAATTGAGAGGCTGTGGAATAGCCAAAGCTCAATTCTGTATTTCTCTGTTAATGTGCAAAGCCTTGCCTGCAAACATTAGAGGCAAATACCATAATTCTGTACATAATCCTATGACTCTAAGCTCCTAGTATTGGATTCAGTTTGAGACATTTTCTGTAAATCACATAGTCAATAATGCTAATCTTTCTGTGATTAAATCATAACTTGAAGTGGCTGCAAAGGTGTAAACATTTATTTCCTGTCAGAATGTTTTCAGAGCTGGCTGCTGGATGTAGGTACTTTATTTGTAGGCCTGAAGAAAATACTTCTTTCACAAAATTGGCAATATTTGTGCATGTTAACTGTAAACTGCTTTTGGTGACTTCCAGCCAATATGTCACTTAGTGGCAGAGAGTATCTGTGCTAACAAAATACCTTGGAAGAGACTAATTTAATTTTGATAACTTCCCGTTTAGTGGAAACATCAGTGACTATACAAAGATCTGGGTTTTTTGTGGAAAACAAAATCAAATAACATCAAACACCTCAATTTCTATTTGTCTGTATTGTAATCTACCAAATATTCCCAAGTTTTGGTAATTTTGTCTTAGGAAAAGTTAAAAACTGAGTGTGGATGATAAGACCTACACTTTTTACTAAAGCCATTTCAGCTTTTTGTGTGCAAGAATTGGTAATATCGAGACAGCAGGTTTACTTTCAAAGTGTTGTTTGTCTGAAGTCTTACTCATAGTAGAAGGGAACGAATACAACCAGTTATGAACAAAGATGACAGAATAGGTACAAACTCGATCAGAATGTAGGTGGGATAATGCCAATTTAGGAAAAGGTACACGTGTTTCAGTGAAATAATCACAACCCATCTTAGTAAAAATCAACGAGCTATGTAGTTGTGTTGTTTACCTTGGATAAGTGAATTCTGGTAAATTTGTGGGGTTTTGTGAATGATAATTTTTCTTGTTTGTTCTTAACAGGAGCTCACCAGATGTTGTTGTTGGCAGTGTTTATAACACCCCTTAATGATATCTACTCTGACTTCTCAAAATTTCTGGAGATGATAGAGACAACATTGGATATGGAGAAGGTACGGGCTGGTGTGTGGGAGGGGTTTACTTGGCAATTAAAGTTTCTTATTGAACTTTGCAATCTGCTCTACACTCACTAAATTTAATTGATCTTCTATATTAAGCAGTTAGTGATAATTTATCTGTGGAATATATGAAGACTGTTATTAGTATAGCAGTTGAATATCAACAGGATATTCACCTGCTATCTGAAATTATCTAGCCAATAAGAAAAGACTGTATACATGGATGCTGTGGACCTGAAACTATTTTTTCAAAACCTCATCAGTATTGAAAGTGGAGAAGTGATTTTGTCATTTCTCTGCTTCTTTGTATTTTTAAAGTTACTGTGATATGTCTCATATCTAGAATGTAGCCAGAATATATTTATTACATATTTTTTTGCTTCTAAGAAGTTCATTAGACTTGGTGCTATTTAGTGGGATTAAGTCTTCATAACTAACGGTTTGCCTCTCTGAAAAATTATTGCCTTAGGCTTAAAGACTGACTTTACTTTTCTCCCATTATATTTGTTAGAGAACTGATAAGATGGATTTTGAAATGGACCTACTTGGTTAGAAATGTATTTAATGTTCCTCTCAGCAGGGTCTTTCAGTAATTTTGGTAAACTTGGGAAGTCTTTTAAGATTGCCATAAGTGTCAGTCTCAGTTGACTCTGGAAGTATGAAATCTCTCTAACCTCGTTCCAGACGTTGTGCAAGGGCAAGGTGTCGAACTTGTGGAAACTGCAGTGGCTTTAAAATTTTGAACACGTGTACTTTTCTCCAAAGGCAGAAGCACCGCATTTTATCTCTTTCTATTGTGTTATGCATCCATCAGCTGCCTTCTACTGTTTATGGAAAGACTGTTTGATTGACATGTTGCTGTAATTTGTGATATATGGTAATGAAGAAATTTATAGCTTTATACTAGTTACAGACCATCTGTTGATGCGGTTCGTGTGCCCTGGGACTCTGTTTTCTTTAACTAACAGCTGTTCTAAGCCTTCACCCTTCATAGTCCAGCTCTTTAAACTTCTTTTCAGGTTCTACTTTAAAAATGTTTTGTTGTCCTAAACAGAATAACAAGTCAGTTATTTTTAATCAAGTACCATAGAATCTGTTATGTTGGATTTGATTTTTCCTCCCCATCAAGATACTGGAAAATAGCTATAGATAAGCCAACACTGGTTTTACCAGGAGAATAACCCTTGTCTATATGAATGTTAAAACTTGCACTTTGACTTGAAATTCCCCCTAGATTTTTAGGGAGTTCAAACAAAACCAGCTCTATTCTGAGTGCAATTGAAGGATAGGTTGTCATAGCAACTAAATTATGTCAATAATCCATTCTAATATAAAAAGAAACATCTGAGTTCAAAAAGCGTGGGATGTGGTTATTCATTTACCTAGCTGTAATAAAAGTTGAGAAACTGTCACTTCCATTCCTGTCTTTCACAGAATCATAAGAGGCCTTTGAAAAACCCTCTATTACAACCTCCTCCTCAACTTGGGGCAGCTTCAGTGTTTGTTGGTGCTTTCAGTATACAGCCACCTGGCAGTGGAAGCATGGGGAAGAGAGAGAAAAAAGATGAAATACAACTTATTTAATCTGGGCCTCTGAAAATGTTAAGCTTAGAAGGAACTGTGTATGCTTTTCAACTCAAGAGCTGAGTTGAAATTGGGGAGGACTTTTGGTGATATTAAGTAGGTTCCTTCTATAACCTTTTGAATCTCCTTTGGGCAGGAATTACTGTTTCAGAAACTTCCGTTTCCAAAGGCTTCTTGTTCTGAAATGCCCCATCCTTTTACACTCTGTCTGGATTAGCTGCAGAAGTCCAGGCTAGCATACAGATTGTGTACATAACAATTTCATTTCCCCTGACTTCTCTTTTTTCTCTGCCTACTGCTCAGTTACTTGTTTGTGAATAAATAGGCAAGCAACTTCATTTCAGCAGAAAGGAGTCTGTTAAGTTGGTGTATTTTGATTGTATAAAGTATATTATTTGAGAAAATGAGTGTTTGAGGTGTATTTGTTTTGCAGTTGAATCAGACACCAACTATCATAAATAACATTGCATTACAAAATTATACGTGTTTTAAAAATTGAATAAATGATTAAGTGAATTCATTTCACTGTTTATGATCAGGGAGGTAATTTTTTTTTATTGCCTCTGTTCATGTGAATTTTTTCTTGTTATTTTTCCCTAGGTGGAGAATCATGAATTTCTTGTCAAGTCTTCTTTTGATCCTAATTTAACAGAATTAAGTGAGAAGATGAATGAACTGGAAGAGCAAATGCAGTCCTTGTTAAAGACTGCAGCCAAAGAACTAGGTAGGGTTTGGAACTGCCTTTGATTCTTACCTCCTTTGTAAAATGTTTTGCGATCAAGTGATGAAAACTGGTACAGAGGAGTTAAGGTATGTTTGTATTATTTTGTTGTGACTTTAGTTGTTGCAGTACAATCTGTTGAAAATAGAGTAATTTTTGGTTTAGAACTTGGCCTTTATTTTTTTTCGAAGACAGCATTCCGAAGCATTTCAGAAATTATCAAGCGTGTTGCAATGTACTGCAGAATTCATTTTGTAGAACTGTAACGCATCAAACTCTTGGCTAAGTCTAGTTCTGTTTTACATCCTTTGAGGACATGCATTGAAACTTTTCCCCCCCTCCTCTGTGCATTCTCCTGAGTGTCCATTCAGGACATGCTAGTTTTCTTTTTATGGTTCTTTGCAAAATGTAATGTATAAGCAAATGAGACATTTAAAGAATTGATTACCCTATGCAAAAAGTTCCATGTGCATCTGATGAATCAGGCATTCAAAGAGCAACTTAAAAAAACAAAAGCCACCAACTTTTAATGCAAATGTGGCAAGGAAAACTGGCAACACCATTTTAGGTTACACCTTTAATGGCTTGCATATTTTTTGTAGTCTTGGTACTTTTTTTAGTGTAAACAAGATACCTGGATGAAAAGAAGGAAAGAAAAGATCGTGTAGGGATGAGATGAGAAATCTCACCAGCAGAAGTATGTGTTAGTAGAAGGATCACAAGAGTACAGGTGCTGTGCTTGCAGCAGCAATGCAGAATGTCCTTGCAATTTGCTATGAACGTTTTTCACTTTTCTGGAGAATTCATAGCAATACAGTAATTGTGAGCCTGATTTGAATATGCAGTTTGAGAGCATATCAGTGTCAGAGCAGAGAATGTATCAGTGTGCTCCTATTAGGTCTGGATATTTCTCATACCTGTACGGAATCAAAGCAAGTCTGCTGAATTGGCTTATGGAAACTGGGGAATAGTGAGCAGAAATAGGACAGGCTGCTGGATTTGTGATAATACAGTTGCTTTCTTTTTCTTTCTTTTCATCCAAAAGGTTTGGAAGCTGGCAAAAGTATCAAACTGGAGACAAATTCACAGTTTGGACATCACTTTCGAATAACTTGCAAGGAGGAAAAAGTTCTCCGCAACAATTCAAAATATGCAATACTTGATACACAGAAGAATGGTGTGAAATTCACCAACAGGTATAAGGTCATCTTGGTGCTTTTTCAAGCCTATTGTGAAGTAATAGGATTGTTCCTTTTTAATTATACCGATGAACTGGTTTCCCTGCATCTTGAATGGCTGAATTTTCATGTTTTTAATTGGCTCACAGATTGAAATATTGAGCAAGACTGGCATGAAGGAAGAATAGTCATACAGTTTATGTTAAAAGCTGCATTCCCCATTGCCAACTGTTAGCTATTTTTGGTCCTTTGACTTGGGCTAATTCCTCCGTTTTAGCTGCAGCAAGTAGCATAATTGCAGTCACTCTGAAGTGTTTATACAGACACTTTTACAAGCTGCAGTAGGGAAAGAGCTATTTATGTTTATCACCAAATATGACATGGAGCAATTTTGTTGGTGATTACCTTTTCTTTGTTCCAAGTCATGCTCTAATTTCTGTTAGTCCTATGTATTGAACATCAATTCAGTGCCTCTTTTGATTAAGCTATTTAAAAATTCCAGTCTTCAGGCTGATGCTGTTTCAGTGTCTCCTTGTCTGGACAGCAGTTCTGTCACAGGTCAGCTGAGCAAAAAGTCTATTTTTTCTTTTTTAGCTCTTTTAGAGCATTCTAGAAGGAGCGAAGACTACATTGGTCATCTAATGTCTCTGTTCTTCAGTGTTTTTACTCAGAGCAAACTAAAGTAGAAAGTTAGATATGCAGAATTGAGTGATAATCTCTTAGCTCTCCCTCAAAGCACATCCACCTTGGAAATTAGATCCTATCTGCAAGTTAGATGATGTAGCCCAAGGCCTTGCCCAGGGGCCCATCCTTCAGGCATCCTTCACAGCCTAGCAGGGCACAAGTTCCAGTGCTGAATCACTCTTCGTGAAAACTTTTCTGATCTGATCTAATGAGAATTTTCCTTTCAGAAACTCGAGGTCTTAGTATCTCATCCTTTTGTTGTGCACCTCCAAGAAGAGTCTGGTGCCTCTTCCCTCTGGGCTGACTTCAGATTCTTAGCCTGGGCAGGCATCTCTGTCAGCCTGTCCTTGTGTGCCATGTGCTCCAGCTCTGTATCTTTGTGGTGACCATCTGCTCCAGGTTTGATCTGTCTCACAGGGAAGAAGAAAACAGAGACAGCTCTGCATATATGGTCTCACAAGTGCTGAATAGAGGGGAAGAATTACTTCCTTCAACATGCTGGGTCCACTCTTGCTAATGCAGCCAGCATGGGCTTGGCCTTCTCTGCCTCAAGGCACACTGCTGCCTTGTGTTCAGCTTCTTGTCCATTGGGTCCCCCAAGTATTTTATGATTTTTTTTTATTGTTTGGACTACAGTCTCTACTGTTACATGAAGTTATTTCATCCCAGGTGCAGGACTTTACGTTTGCCTTTGCTGAAATTGTTGTCCACCTATTTTTCAAGTCTGTAGGTATCCCAGTGAATGGCAGCCGTGTCCTCCCACGTACTGACAGCTCTCCTTCCTGTGGTATTGTTCACAGTCTTTGAGAGTTTATTCAGCCCCATCATTCAGGTTGTTAATCAAAGCATAAATAGTATCAGCCTCGGTATCAACCCTAAGAAATGCCTCTGATAATCAGCCACTAATTGGACTTCAGCCTTCTGACAAACCTGTCAATGGCAGGTTCCAGACAAAACTAATTTTTAAGTCTCCTGCATGTGCTACCTGGAAGGGTAAAAGCAGCAGAATTTAATATATCATGCAGTCTGTTTCAGACAAACCCTGCTTGTACTGCTCTATGTATAACTGGTCCTGCTGGAATTAGCAGGAGAGAAGGGAGTTTACTGAGAGAGAGATCTTGATTGACAAACAAGTATGAGGAGCACTGCCTACAGGGGAAGGTTGGTTTCAAGACAGGGCTATTACCAGTAGTGACTGTTTTCTGTTAATCACTCACTTTCATAGTAATAAATCCTTTGCTTTGAAAAGGAGGGCAAACATATTGGTTCACACCAACCAATGTGTTGGTGTATTTCACACCAATTTACTTAAATGAACAAAGTGTAAGCCTTAATTGCATTTTGTTTTAACATTTACTCAGAGGATATTTTTTAAAAACATCCCTGAAATTTAAAACAGCCTTTTCTGCTTCTAAATATATTATGAATCTAAATGTATGATGAAGTTAGGCTTTTCTGTAACTGAGAAGATGGTACTTAGAACCTGTTCTGTGTCATCTGTTACTTTCCCTTAGGGAAGCAGCCCATGCATCACTAATAAAACAGATTTCTCTGTGCTTACTTGAGTTATAGTTGCTTCTGTTGGTGGTGCTAGAAGCACAAGGCTGACTTCTGCTTATAGTGTGGGTACACTACTCGAGTGTGTTTCTTATTCAGTCTTGCAGACTATGTTCCTTGTTTGAGAGATGAGCTTGAGAAAACTAAAGACTTGTTTAAACTCTTGATTTCAGCTTGCCTTATTTTGAAGACTTGAACCTGTTCTTAGTGACAGTAGTTCACTGAGGTTTTTACTAAATGAAATAAGTCAATGCCTTCAGCTCTGATAAGCCTGCTGTAGGACTCTGGGCTAATTACACAGTTGCTTAGCAGCAATTCTTCTCTACCAGTTCTATAATGTGCCACATCCCATAGCAAAATGGCCAGAAATTCAGCTTTAAGCGATAGTCCTTATCACATGGAGTGTCTATAACAAACAACTACTGGAAGATTTTGAAGAATCATGTGTTGATGCTAGAATTGGTGGTTTGGCCCTTGTGGGTGTTCTTCAACTTGGAATTAATATTGCAGATATCCTGGTGTGAACGAATTGTAGATTAGTTGCTTTGTGGTCCTTGTGCTGAACCTTGCTCTTAAGACAGGTGGGAACAACTGGTATTGGCTCATAGATGAGGAGCCAGAAGTTTGGCATTGCAGGTGAAGACAGAACACCACAGGTTCTAAATATTATTGTTTTTTTCACAGCAAACTGAGCTCTGTCAATGAAGAATATAAAAGGAACAGAGAAGAGTATGAAGAGGCTCAGGATGCAATTGTTAAGGAAATCATTAGCATTGCTTCAGGTGAAAATGCCAGTTTTGATGGGTATCACAGTCTGGAATGCTGGGAGGACTTGCAGTTACTTTGAGAGCCTTCTGTAGAGGCTCTCATTCCCCACAGAATTACCATGAAAAGTGAGGTGTGGCTTTCAGACAGTTGTTGGAAGATTGAAATATGTTGTCTTCTGTGGCCAGACCCTTTCCTGGCATTGCTACAAATAGGCAGTGATGAGGTGTGTGCAAATGCTAATCCCATGGAAGGGACAAAAATAAGCCCATAAAGGCCACATCTATCCTTCACCTACCTCCCTGACTCTGGGCACCTTCAACCAAATGGCAGAAATGGTAAAGGACAACAGAGAACTGAGGGAGTGGGACCCGAGGTCTGTGAAGAACGTTGGTATGCAATATAAGATCAAGTTAGTCATTGCTTAAATGGTGCAATAAAAATATCCTTGTTTTCATAAATATTTGCCATATATTTTGCTCCAAGATTGCCTGCTGACAGAGCATTCTTTAGTATTCTTCACCAAAAGCAGAAGAGACATTGGGGAATTTGGGCTGTAGACTCCTGTACCTCATCCCTTTCACTGGAGAAAACCAAACACCAAAACTTAGAACTGTTACTGGGGATGCTGGGCCATCTAGTCTGGTTCTCTGGTATCACAGGCACTGTATCTCATAGACCTCTCCCTCCCATCATTCACATAAACATAGATGGTTGCTGTGCCTGAAGTGTCTGTGCTGTGTCTCTTTGCTCACCTGAGCATCAGAATGCAGTGTGTTATGGAGGAAAGAAAGGTACTGGATTTCCAGCCATCTGCCACTGCGAGTGTTTGCCTCCTGTACTAGGATAAGCTGTTTCTCACTGTCTGGGTGTTGAGGGAAAATAGTCAACATGGCCTCAACTCTCCCCTGTCTTAGTCTGAAGAAGTACCCTTAGTATTCAAGGCATGGGAACTTTAGGATTACATCTTGGACTCTCCCAGAAGGTGACTGCCACCATGAACAAAATTGTTAATGCAGATGAACTAATTTTATGGGCTCACTACAGGCTTTAAGACACCTCTTCAGCAAGGGCAAAAAAATTGCTAACAGTATTGAATTTGTGTATCTCCCTAATCAAAACAGGTTATGCAGAGCCAATGCAGATGATGAACGACGTGATAGCTCAGTTAGATGTGATTGTCAGTTTTGCTCACGTGTCCAACGGAGCACCGGTGCCGTATGTCCGTCCTGTCATTCTGGAAAAGGGACAGGGGAGGATTGTGCTGAAAGGTGCAAGGCATCCTTGCCTCGAAATGCAGGATGAGGTGGCTTTCATCCCCAATGACGTTACATTCGAGAAAGGCAAGCAGATGTTCCACATTATTACTGGTAAATACTTCTGTTCTCTTTTTCTGTTGTTATTTACTTTATAAATGTCTCGAGTATTTCCAATAATGATTTTTTTAAAAAAAACCTAACCAACAATAAGCAAAACAAACCAGCAATTTAATAGAACTCTGTCAAAACAATTTCTCTAATCAACAAACAGCTAGTAAAGTACTTTTCTTTCTGAATGGGGAATAAGATTTAGCTCTGTAAAAGAAGAGAGCGTGTTGGTAAGCTACTGTTGTTTATTATATTAAAAAGAAGAAAGTGTCCATAATATTCTTGTGAAATGTTACCTTTGATTATGGATATTCTACATGTTTCTGCACATACAGGCATATTTCTCATCATCCAAACTAATATTAATGGATTTGGTTATTGTGATTGTAGTTATGGTGCACTCTTTGTAGAAGGCGATCACTAATTTCGAAAGAGTCATTCATGAAGAGAGAGGCTGCTAGGACAGTAGAAAAGAAGAATTTAGTCCTTCTTTAATGTTTTCTTTGCCTTAGTGAATGTAACTCCACAAACCAGGCAACCTCAGGAGCTGGAGAACCTGAAACTGCTAGGTGATTTGGAAAATTCCACTGGGTATCAATTGTACTGTAGCCACATAGGCATCTTTTGTAGGCAAGATTTTAAGCAGCCTCTTCATTAGTGTTTTCTTTGTTAAGTATTAAGGTTGATTTTAAATGCAAAACATGTTTCAATGACGGTACTATTTTTTACCCTTTTCTCTGGTGTAATTAAGATAATTTTACTACGCAGGAAAACATTTTTAGTGTTTATAGATTTAATTGAATCTTAATTTCCATCCATATGTCCTTGACATACATTCTGAGTAGCAAAGATCTGAAATTAGAGAATGATTAACGAACACTTCTAAGATAATCAAAAAGCAAAACTAAAAATCTGAAAAAATTCATGGTAAGACACTTGTTTTTCTGGTTAGCAAAAGCATAAAACTGGTTTTAATGATCATTTTCTGGAAAATAATTTTTATTTCATTTATACTTCATTACAATTAACTTATTAATATCTGGGTTTGCTGATTTTAAATCACCCATTAGCTTGTACCCACTCTATATCTAAGCTGTTTCATTTTTACAGGGAAATTTTAATTGTTTTTTGAGGTGAAAACAAATTAATATTATTCTTGAGCAGCAATACTGATGACTTTAAAGGTTTAGGTATATTTTAGATGACTGCCTTTACTTCTGAAAAGTCCTAAAACTTATGCTCTCTGATCACTTTTCTTTTTGAAAAAGCACAGTGAGTAAGATGAACAAACCAGCCTTGTTAGTACTGGAGCCACTTGTTGCACCTGTTAGACAAGTTTGCTACTTTTTCCTGGCAAGAGAGTTATAAGTTTAAACATTCTTTGTTTTAATTTAGAGCCTGTTCTCCTCTAAAAGAACTGTTGAATTGTAAAAAGTTGATGGTTTTTTAATTATTTTTTGCAAAATTTCTTCTCTAGGCCCTAACATGGGGGGAAAATCAACCTACATCCGGCAGACAGGAGTGATTGTTCTTATGGCCCAAATTGGGTGTTTTGTTCCGTGTGACTCTGCAGAAATAACCATTGTGGATTGTATCCTGGCTCGGGTGGGAGCAGGAGACAGTCAGCTGAAAGGCGTGTCTACTTTCATGGCTGAAATGCTGGAAACTGCTTCAATCCTTAGGCAAGTCCTGTGCTTATTTGGTTGTGTTGGTTGGGGCTGATGGGGAAGGACATGCTCTAAGAAACATGCACTGATGTTTTTGTGTGGAAGAACCTCAGTGGAGGATCTCAAGGCCTTTTTATCTGGTTCCTAAGTTCTTGAAGTTGCCTTTGTTTATTTCAGCGGTCAATACAGAGCTGCTACCGGGAGGCCAAAGTCTGAACAGGACAAAGGAACTAATTTGGAATGATCTGTGTGACACTGTGTTTGCACTTTATTTGTATGTTGTTATGTAAATAGGAAAGATCTTTTGCTTCTTCATAACTTGTGATACTCCAATATCCTGAACTCATGCTGTTGTCAAGCATTATAAAATGCTCTTGTGTTTTTAGGACAGCATCTGAGAACTCCCTGATAATTATTGATGAGCTGGGAAGAGGAACTTCTACCTACGATGGCTTTGGCTTAGCATGGGCTATCTCAGAATACATTGCTACCAAAATCTGTGCTTTCACTATGTTTGCTACACATTTTCATGAACTGACAGCTCTTGCTGACGAAGTGCCAACAGTAAATAACCTACATGTTACTGCTCTGACCACTGATGACACACTGACGATGCTTTATCGTGTCAAGGAAGGTAAGACTGTGTATATGGTGAATCAGGGTAAACTTCATTTTGCCCTGAGAGAGGAAAAAGTCTTAATGGGGGGAATAAATTAATGTCATACTTCAGGCTTTGGGTTTATAATAGACACATTCTTCTCTGTCCATAGAGAGTGTGTATGGCAGGAGCTCTGACCATGTGTGAACACAGTTGGTGATGATGTTGATGATTATTTGTTAAGACTTCTAGGTTATTTCTGCCACTCAAGTTGGTGCTTTTGAGTCACTCCCTTTTCCTTTTTTAAGGACCAGAGGGAATGGTTCCAAAAGGTTATTTTCTGTTTTCTTAAATCAGCCATTTTAACGTGCTGGTCGGAAATACTTATGTTCCTTAAACTGTTCTTTTAAAAGAAATGAGTGCAACTTTTATGTACTGGCAATTTTTAATAATGTCTATTTCATTGTGATAAGATTTAGTCTTATGTTGCCCAATTTATGCAGTAGTTTGATGTAGGAAAAATCATATGGTTTATTTTTAGCAAATGGCATCATAGTGAAACAACAAGTAGCCTGTTTTGTTAGTGTAAAATCAGTTAGATGTATTTAATTAAAGCCTTTAGTGGATCCAGTTATTCCTTCAGTGTTAAATTAAACAATTTTTTATTAGGCATAAATTTAATCTGTTCACTGCAGAAAGCAGTTCCTCCTGCTTCTCTATATCCCCAATCATTTCTTGTTCCTTTCACCAGGAGCCTGTATTTATGCTACATAAAGGAGAGCTGTGTAACTGTGGCTTGCAAGGTGTGCTCGTTTATGGCCTTCTAATTTAGTTGTCAACCCTACAGTGATTTTTTTATTGTTCTCGTTAGAGCATTTCAGTCAGGTTGGCAACCTCTGGACTGATATTTTGATTTAAAATGTGGGCAGAGTACTGTAAGTCTATATTCTCACTTAAAAATACCTCTTAATTTTCCTTTTCTGAGTTCCACAATGAAGGAATGAGTTAGATGACTCTCAAATAGGTAGAACATGGCTCCTGTAGAGCACTCTGGCTAGACTGGATCTGATCAACAGCTTACCTTGTGGAGTGGTTTTGTCTCAAAAAAGGAATAATTATTCGAGGAGTTAGGCTGTTAACTTTACTAGAAGAATTACTCAGTATCATCCATCTTTGTTAAGGGTAAGGAGCTAATCCATGTCTCATCTCAAATCCTGGAGACTGACATTTACTTATCTCTTTTTTGTTAAGGATTTAATCTTAGTGGTACGATTGCTGTACTACATTCCTCATTTTAAAAGCTGTTTTGTTATGCTGACATATCAAACACTTGCTTTTGCTTACCTTGTTCATCCTAATAACTCTGCTATTTGTGAACAGTGCATGTTGAGTATGTATTATCTTGGCACTCTCTCCACTGTTTCCTCATTTTTGTAGCCAGTTTAGGACTTTTCAGTTCATTCCTTCTGGCATATATTGTTCTGAAATGTAATTAGTATGCTGCCCAGCTATCAAATTTTACTGAGATGCTTTTAAAGATATTTTTTATAATCTTCACAGGCTATCACCATACTATTAAATGCCCTTAGATAATTGGTAAATGTGGTTTTATATCCTGCTCTGAGCCTCCCTGGAGTGGTACCATGCAAGTTTTGCTCCTATGACATTACTAATTCACTATTTCTTACTCATTTCTTCTGGTTTTAAATCCATGAAATTACTTCATTTCTTGCCCTTTGATTACATGTATGACCATTTCTAATTTGGTATTCCCCTCTGGGTATAATCTTCCAGTTAGATTTTGGATACTTTTCTCTAAGATGAGGATACTGCTCTGAACAAGGGGAATCACAGCAGGACCAGAAGTACTGCTCTCCTCTGGTTTTACTGAGAGTCTGCTTACAGCTGGGTAGATCAGCTCTGGCTGCCACAGCCTTGTTTCTTTTAACCCTGAGTCCTTGCCTTTTGGGATTTTTATTCCTTAGAAATGCTCTTGGTTCATGCACTTTTCCAGGCTTCTGAGTATTGGTCCAGAGTGCTGCGGTCCTGGCACCCAGCCTTGCCCATGGAGAGGCAGTGTCTGTGGTTCTTCCCGAGTGTGCTGTTTCCCATCTTCTGCAGCATATGTTGAGCTCCTTCCACCAAGTGATGGTTCAGAGCCCTCTGAATGCGTTGCTCAAATCAGTGCTTAGAAGATGATTTAGTGTGGCATGGGAACTGAAGAAAAATATAGTAATAAGCTGCTGCAAGCACACATTGAAACTATGAGTGGTTTTGGTGCAGCGGGAGCTGGTGATGTACATTATCTTCAAACAAGCCTTCTTTATTTAGATGCCTTATTTTGAGCACGTTGGTTGGGGAGGGAATTAATATACACTGTATCAAAACCTTCTACCTTCTACATCCTTTGGAATAGCAACTCTTACGATAAAATCCCCTAATACTCCCCAGATAGTTGGGTGAATTTTCTTTCTTCAACCCACTCCTTTCGTTTTTTATACCTGTATTAATGCAACTATTCTGGTCCTGATAAAAATTCTAGAAGCCCAGTTTCATATTTTTCTTGAATCATCTTTGCCGCTTTTAGTCATACCCACCTTTTCTCTGTACGTGCAATGTCTTTCCATTCCATCCATTTTCTTGGAAGTGCTATTGAGTGTAGAGGCACAGTAGTTTGTATCTATCTACTATCTATCTATGTATCTATCTATGTATCTATCTATCTATCTATCTATCTATTTATCTATCTATCTACAGAAGAGATACAACGTTATGAAGTCTTCATCTTAAAATACCTGGTCTAAAATTGGATTTCTCTCACATAAGTTTTTGCATTTAGTGTTGTGCTCTTTCCCTTTTGGAAGTGTTAAGTTGCTCTGACAAGGATGTGAGTAGAGGCAGCTTGGATACAGCTGTGTTTTGAAACAAATAACAGGTTTCATGTCATTTGAAATGCATAACTAAATCTGAAGTGTGTGACAAGGAACTTTTTATGCAGTATGTTCAACCCTATCTTCATGCTTCAAGAGTGTGAGAAGATCTCTGAAAGAGGAGACACAGAAGGTACTGTTCTCCAGGCCTCTGCTCAGGATTCTCTGAGTGAGAACCAACTTAGCTTTGTGTCTGGGAAAGTGTGTGTTTTTAGTGTAAAATCAAAGAGACTAGTTTCTGCTTAAAAATGTTAGTCTCCTTTTGAGAAGTTTAAGAGATTACCAGGTTAATAAAACAGAAAAAAATCTAAATGCTAAGTTTTCCTTTACCTCTTCTTTGGATACTCAGTATTTAATAGATGATTAGTTAACTGTCATTTTGCATGTGTAATTCATTTATTCATAACTCTTGGCTGGAGACCAGAATTAAAAGGATGTAGTAATATTTGTGGGATGCCAAATGGAATTATGATAATGTAAACTAATGAAGTTGACAGATTTTGAAAATTGTTTTATGTAACCGTGTATAATTTAGATATTTTGAGCAATTATGAGAACTTTTCTTTCTCAACCAAGTGTTATAAACCATGTATTAATTAAAATAAGTGTAAACTTAAAGTTGAAAGGTTTTGATATAATTAGAGGGGACTCCTGGAGACTGAGGAGTTATGTGCTACAGATGCAAAGGAGAAAAGGGATGTTTGAGAATGCAACATTTTTAATATTTATGCATACACACACATATATTTATATAAATAACTAATTTATATTATATAAGTGTGAGAGATATATATTAAAAAAGAGGCAAATTACTATATACTGCAGACTGTGCTGAAGTGCTTTAATAAAAATCATTATTCAATGTCATTCAAGTAGTAGAGGGAAATTCTTTCTGCCTGAAGAATTTTCCATTTCTTCCTGAAGCACTTTGGAGCTCTGCAATTACTGCTCTAAGAGAGCTTAATTAAATAAGAGCATATTCTTTAGTCTGTGTTATCAGGTTTAGTTCAAAAGGTAAATCAGAAAGTGTTGGGGAGAACCAAATGATGATACACACTTAATTCTTCAGAACAGAGAACTATTACAAGCTTGTTCATATAATTTCTATGTAGCCATATTATCTTTTGAGCACTGTTAACTCTTGGGTTATTTCTCTGCATCCAGGTTTTTGTGACCAGAGTTTTGGAATACATGTAGCAGAGTTGGCAGCTTTCCCAAAACACGTGATAGAAAGTGCAAGAGCGAAAGCCTTGGAGCTGGAGGAGTTTCAGAACATTGGCAAGTCCAAGGACTCTGAAGGAGAACCATCAGCCAAGAAACCCTACAGAGAGAGAGAGGTTTGCTATCAGAAATGTTTTTTAAAAGTTTTTTTGCTGGAATAGCTCAAGCAAAATAGTTTGAGGATTCAGATTCCCCCAGCACTTGAGGATAATTACCTTTAATACATTTTTCCATAACAAAATGTTTTAGCTATGAGGTTTATAAGAATTGAAGAGATGTTCAGGGATAGTGGGTTTTGATTTAGATTCATTTCAACTTAACATAGGCAAGAATTTTATCTGAAGACGTAGTCGTGAGGTTGAAACTCATTTTTTTTCTTAAAGAATAGTGATCACCAGTTAGTATGATTGGTGAACAACTGGGGTCATACAAGGGACCATGTCTCTGCCTGACCTTTGGAGTTTTATTTATGCTGTGAACCAAGCCAGAATTTTGTGTTCATCACTTTTGTTGACTATTTAGTTTGTTTGCAAAGTTTCTTGGGACTTAAGACAAAGCTTTTATTATAATTGTGTAGATTATTCTTAGCTCCACAGTTGGATTGCACCTGGTTTTGCTCCCCCTTATTTGAGAGCTCATTAGTGCCAATTTCTTAAAGCTCAATGTGTTCAGATCTGTTCACATCACAGAAAAGCTGAGTACACAGCTTTCTCCTTTGTGCCTCTCTGTGTCCCATCAGTACTAAGACATCTCACAAGCTGATCATATCAAAGGACCTGGAATGTCTGATTTACAGATGTTATGAAGTTCTTCCCATTTCACATGAGAGAATTTTAGCTTGGCTTTCTCTACTCAACCTGGAAGTAAAATCTTCTTGGCTTTGCACAGTCTTTGAGCACAGGTTGAGGAAACCCACATCTCATCGTAGATCTGATCATGTCTACATTGTATAATACAATTGTATAATGTTGAGTGAACTGTTTTTTCTCCCTTTGCCTTCTTTTTAAAGAAGCTTCATTAGCAGGCAGTGTGAAAGAAAACAAGGGCTTGCAGGAAGCTTTCTCAGGATATCCTGTGTCATCTTGTTGCTGGATTAAGAATCCTTCCAGTGACATCTGTGGCAGCCTTCTAGGAAATCCATGTGCTGCCTTATGGCTTGCATTGGTTTTCACCAGTGCAGGTCCTCCTTGCTGTGTGCATAGAAATATGCTTATAGATCTTAGTTCTGTGTCCCAGCAGTCGATCTGAAACTTCACAGCCTTGCACCTCATTTATCTCTTCCTGGCAATCTTGGTAATACTCCAGTGTATGGAAGCCTTGAAGTGTTAGTCCATATCCAAAGCACTTTCTACATTTAAAAAGCCTTTGCTTTAGACAGAGGCTGTTATCTGTTACTTTATTTTCAATTTCGGAGGTCAACTGCATTTGTTCCTGACTCAGTAAGTGGATCTGATGTTGTAGATGAATGATCTCTGTTTTGTTGTACTTTTACTGCCAGGAGATTTTCTTTCCAACTACCTCAGTTGCTCCACTATTACCTTTCCTTTGTCAGCGTGCTAGATGTCATGGTGAAGAAATTTTCAGATTAGTTGGACCTGGCTGCACGGTCATACGTTGATGTAAATTAAATTGACACAGCAAACACTTGTGACAAATACAGCATCATGTTTTATTCTTGGATATTTCAGTAATACATAATATTTCATAAACTCTCTAGGCAATAGAATGGCAGAGCTTTAGATGTCTCACCCAGGCAATTTATCTGCCTTGGTTGACATCACATTTAGAGGGAAAAGTGTGCTATTACATTTCTGAGTGCTTTGGAGACTTGTGCACTGAAAACTGCATTAGCCTTAAATGATAGGGGAAAATTAAGAAAACCTTTTAGTAGAATTCTAAAATACAGAGGACTGGACAAAATTCTGTATTATGGGCAAATTGTTTCCAATACAGGGATTCTGAATACTGTTCACTGAAATGTTTGTTCTTGCTATTCAAGTCAGATTGTTTAGAAGTTCCACTTCGCCTGTTTGTATAAAAGCATATGCATAAAGCTTAATTATCATCTGTTCTCCTTGGTGACGGCCACTCTCCAGTTGCTTGGTTACAATTTGTTCTTTCCTTTTGCATATTGAAACATTGCTTTTGATTTACAGTCCCCCCTAAAAGTAACTAGTTTGGGTAATATGGCCATTCTTATGCTGTTGTTGCTGGCAATCCTCACCTCATGTGGCTGCACACTGGGATTAAATTTGGAACATATATAGGACATCTCAATGTTAAGTATTGTACTTCTGCTGATCAACTGATGCTTTTTGCTCAGGGATTGAAAGGGGAAAGAACTCCTGATGCCAGTATAACTGGATTGTTCTGGTGTTGAAAACTTGATAGCAAGTGCAAAAATAACTGTTTTTTGCCTGCACCGAGTTTCTCCTGATGAACAGTGCTTTGTATCTTTAGGGAATTTGCAAAAATCCTGCTTGCAATCTAAACATTCTTTCTGTTTTCTTTTACTTCTCTTCCCTCCATTTCAGGAAGGTGAAAAGATAATTCAGGATTTTCTTTGTCAAGTGAAAGCATTGCCCCTGACAGACATGTCAGAAGAAGACATCAAAATCAAGCTGAAACAGCTGAGAAATGATGTGCTGGCAAAGAACAACAGTTTTGTGAATGAAATAATTTCTCGAATGAAAGTTACATCATTATAGGTGTGAGAACAGCATACAGCTCTTGAAGCCTATTTTGCATTGAAAGAACTATAATTTTCTTGTCTTGTAGCTTTTATACTTTATGATACTTGTACTGATTTATGTAGGCATTTTTTTTCTTGGATTGTAATTATTTTGTAAAAAATTCTGAGCACATTATGTGCCAGATTCCTGCTTTAGTTGTGACCACTGTACTCTTCTAGAAGTTTTCAATAAAGTGCTTTTTCATATTGAGAGAATTATTGGCGGCACAAACAGAATGCGTAGCATTTTACCAGAAGTGTGCTAGAAAGTGTAACAGTTGAGGTGGTATACAGCTACCACAGCCTTAAAAAACAACAGTGCATACACAGAATTTTTGACCCATACCATGATTCTTTTCTGTGGGATGCAATTATATTAATTAATTCATCGAAGATTTAGTAAGGCTATGTTAGTGCTCCATTAGAAAAAAAACCCATCTAATCTAAGTGTGCCCAGGTGGCCAAGAAGGCCAATGGCATCCTGGCTTGTGTCAGAAATAGTTTGGCCAGCAGGACCAGGGCAGTGATTGTCCCCCTGTACTTGGCACTGGTGAGGCCGCACCTCGAATCCTGCATCCAGTTCTGGGCCCCTCACTACAAGAAGGACATTGAGGTGCTGGAGCAGGTCCAGAGAAGGGCAACAGAGCTGGTGAAGGGTCTGGAGCACAAGTCTTATGAGGAACAACTGACGGAGCTGGAGGTATTTAACCTGGAGAGAAGGAGGCTCATGGGGGGACCTTATTGCTCTCTACAGCTCCCTGAAAGAAGGGTGTAGTAAGGTGGGGGCTGGTCTCTTCTCTCAGGACAAAAAGAAACAGCCTCAGGGTACTTAAAAGATGTGTAGACTTAGGGACATGGTTTAGTAGTGGGCTTGGCAGTGCTGGGTTAATGGTTGGACTTGATGACCTTACAAGTCTTTTCCAACCAAATGTTTCTATGGTTTTCCAGAAATCTTTTACATGTGTCCTTGCACAGAGCTGAGGAGGGGTGGGATGGATAGGATTTTTTTTTTGTTTTCTCTGTGGATGGTAATGCTTGACTCACATATACTGTGGGCCTGCTCTTTATGCCTGAGTGGTGATAAGTCTTGCATATTTTGGTGGGTTTGTAATGAAAGCAGAGGCTGGAGTGAAGTTACAGTTTAACTGGAACTTGTGAGTTGGTCGTGATTTGTGAGGTCTGTCTACAAGGTAAGAATGCATTGATTTTTATCTGATGTACTTCTCTCATTGAGACAGTTTGAAAGCATGCTGGTAACAAGTTTATTTTCTCCTTGAAATTTAGCATTTTAAATTGTAGCTCAAGAGCACTACCTATATTTAAAACTGTCAGTGTTGAAAGACTAATGGGAAAAGGTGTTTATCGCATGAGATGATAGGAATAAAATCATGCTGAGGATGCTGGGCACACTTGCGGTGTTCAGAGATTGCATCAGTGGGTGTGTGCTGAGGACAGCAGCGCTGCTGTTAAAGCTGTGTTGGATTAATATGTTGCAGTGGTCTGCATTTAAACATTCCAACAATAGTCATAGAAGAGGTGTGGTGTTCAACTTACTGTTGGATAATACTTGTTTGAAGTTAGGCTAGAACTGGGACATATTAGATCTCCTTAGATCGCCAGAAGAACTAAAGGCTTGTTTGAGAGGTTTGAATGCTGCATAACACCTTTTTGGTCTTAAAATTAAAATGCCTTCTACTTAAAAAGACAAAAATAGACTTGCACTTACAAACAGCACAGTTGATGCATGGTCTGGAAAAGTGTGCGAATGGAAAAATCTGTTACATAAAGTAATGAAAAATATAGCTGGGTTTGCAATTTGATTGGTTCAGGCACAAGCTATCCAAAAATACAGCATTATACATAAAATAGACAATGAGAATCAATTTAGAGGATCAAATACTGCAGTGACACACTGCAATTTGTGTTGGATCAAGTGGCTTTAACCGTTGCTAGAAACAAGCATTTCTTGTGAGCGATTGGAATGGCTGGTACTTACAGCCTCATCCTGCATGTGCTGAGATCCCTGTGGTCTGATCAGAGATGCCCCTTGCTCAGTGCCCTGTCCATAACTGTGGGACAGGCATAAAACTGTCACTGGTTACCTCTTCTAGGAACTTCTCTGTTTTCCCCTTGACCCTGTGTGAGCCTTCAGTGTCTACAGCACTCTTAGCCAAGGAGTTGGTTGGAAAAGACTTCTAAGATCATCAAGTCCAAATGTTGGCCCTCACTGAGCTCCCACTTGCAATAGGGACCACTTCTGTGCTTTGAACCTGACTCCCAGTTTTATTCAGTCCCTCTTGTTTGTGTTCTTTGTGTCACCTCTTTCCGCTCTGGACACGGTGCATCAGTTCAGCAGGTGCAGTATGCTGAGGAAAGGCTGCTTTTATTTTTGTATTGCAATTGGAGGCTGATAGAACTGTTCCTGAGTAACCAGATTTGCCCATCTGAGGGTGAGAGCAGTACCTGTGTGTTACTTGGGAGTGATGGGGTACCCTGACTGGACCAGCTCCGTGCAGCACCTTCCCCTCTGTGCTTCAGAAAGGGAGTTGTGTATCTGCAGCAAAAATGATTCAGTTTTTCTCGTGCCCTTCAGCACTCAGAAGGAAGAAGTGTAAAAGTTAATGGGATTTTAAAACTAATCTTTTGAACTGTTTTCTCTTCTACACTACACTTCCCCCTCCCTCTGAGTGTACTGCTGCTGCCGGATATAGGCAAGAGGAGATCAGGCAGGGTTAAGTCTCCATATGTCAGTGCTGCTTTCAAACTGGGTTACAGGTAGTGTGATTTCATGTGAGCAGGCGGATGGCTATTTTTGCTAGTTCCAATTTAGCTTTTTGTTCAGAAAAATACCTATGAGACAGGAGCAATTCCAGAACTTGTCTGCTTATTACAGAGTTGTGCCAAGGATTCAGAGACTATCAAAGCTTCAAAACAAAGTTATGTGGCTATTGAGGAGCAGTGAGGCCACGTACTCTCAGCCTTGAATAAAAATGCAAGTTTCTCTTTGCTCATTCACTTGAAAAAGCTTGTCCCTGAATGCTTGCTGCAGGCAAGTGGTGTTTTTAGACTGTACCACTCCTGTTCATCTAGAAAAGCCTTTATAAAGAGAACTGCATTAGGTGGGGTAAAACAAAAGAGGGCACATGAACAAACACTGAAGGAATTATTTTCCTTTGATTGTTTTACCACCCTTTTAGTGATCAGGAATTCAAAGTTCAACCAGATTGGGTGCAGGAACACCTGGTAGCCAGCCTGATGAGAAAGTGCTGGGTTTACCTCTTGGGTTATGCAGGTGAGATGGCAGTCAGCAGGCTCCAGTAAGGACTGGGGGACTTGGAGATCAAGCTCACAAATCCAGGGAAGGCAGCCTGCTGGCTCTGGACTTGGCTGTGCCTGTTCTAACTTGCAGCTATGTGCGTTCATCTCAAGTAATAATGCAGTCACTAAAAGGCTCTTTGTCTCTTTCCTCCACTGGAGCTGAGGTGGTTTTGGAATCCGAAATGGCAGGAACATGACTGAGATGAGTCCTTGCCCACTGGCAGCTGCACTGGCACTGGTTTAAGGAGACTTTAATCCTCAGAGAAAGCTTAGGATACCTGCTGGTGAGAAGTGGGTCCGTTAGTGGCCTGGCTTTGTTAAGCGTAATGACTTTGCACTAGCTCTTAGTAGATGTAGCTGGTCTGGGTTGATAACCACTCTAAGTGACTGGGAGTGCTCATGGTCCAACTTTTCTGGATTTAGGGAAGCCTGTGCAAGAGCTCATTGCTGTGCTGGAGGAGATGCTGCCTTTGCAGCTCAGCTGAGGTCTGAGATTGTGTGAGAAGTTTCATCTTGTTTGGTGTGAGATTAGGGTGACAGTTTAAACTGGTTTTAATGGCATTTGATGAGTTTTCAAACACACGACAAACACATAGGCTGAGCAATTTCTATGAATACAAAAGTGTGACAATTGGCCTTACTATTCTGCAGTGTGGCAGATTTATTTGAAAAATCGAGGAAGAGCAGTTGCGGCTTTGCATCCGAAGTAGAGTGAGGTTGTGCATTGAATGTTTTGCATCTTGCTGACCTGGGAACAAGGAAAACAAGTGGCCTCAGGAGCCTGAAGCCTTAAAAGATAGTGGAAGAGGGTGCTGTCATTTCTGTGAAATGGCTGCAGATGAAACTTGCCTCTTGATGCTGCCTGTTTGCTGAAAAAGCCTTTTTTGCAGTTGTGTCTCAGATATTCCTGTTCCTCTCCCAGCCTTGCAGCTGCCTTTCCCAGCCTGTTGCTTTTGCTCTCCCTGTGCCTGCCAGGCTCCTGCACTGTTCCCATACACAGAGGAGCACCTTGCAGTGCTACTTTTATGTGTGTGTGTCTCTCTCAGCTGTCAGCAATGCTTTTTACCCTTTTGCATGGGGTGGGACAGGGGTAGATATATCCCTGCACGTCCTGCTTTGCCAGTCAAATTGAGAGGGACCAAACTCTGCTGTTGAAGAGGGAAGTGACAATTTCTAATCATTCTCAGTGGCAGCTGGGACTTACCCTCCTGACATGGTGTCCAGCAGCAGTGCCTGTAGCTAAGGGAAACAATACTGTAAAGCAGATGGCAGGTTGTGTTTGCTCCAGCAGCTGCAGGGAGTAGCACTTCCCGAGAGGTGAGAAATGTATTTGCCTTTTCACCACTGTGGAAAAAGGTGCCTTGGCACCTGGTTTGAGCTACTGGATGCTTGTGGCAGTTTCCGTAAGGGTGTAATCGTTCTGTCTTCATAGGGACGGTTGGAAAGCTGAAAACAGCTGTGCTGAATAACATGAGCCGAGGGAAAAGCTGAGAGTAAATAGCCTGTGCTTATGAGAACATTCCCCCTGCTGATCCACCTGGTCCTGCTGCACGCATCAAAGTCGTTGTTTGTCAGGGCAGTGCACTCTCATGAGGGGCAGCTTCAGTATGCTCTTTTTCCAAAAATTAGGCAACTGTTCCTACATGGGTTGCTGTGGGCTCTGGCAGCAGGCCTGACTGCCCTGGCAAACAGCAGACCTTTAGCTTGTTCAGGGAGGGCTGTGGCAGGTCACACTGGCAGCCTGGTCCCATCTCCAACCTGCTGCTGGATCATGCAGTGCAGGGAGGCAGGAATCTGGTCAGCACTCCTGAAGTGTCTTTGCCAGCCTGAAGTTGCTGGTTTATGCCCTGAGGAACATGAAAATTTTTCGTGTTGAGATTTTGAAGTATAATCTTGTT